TTTTGAAGGAATCTGAGAATTTGAGAGGCATGTTACGGAAGAAGTCATTCGATAACTTTTAATTGAAAAGAAGAATGTAAAATATATATAACAAGATAAAAATATAATCAAAGAATTAATCGAGAATCTAACAAAAAAAGAGAGAAAAAAGAACGTGAATATAATAACGGTTTGGGAAGGGTATAATCCAACTAAAACAAAAGAAGAATCAATCAAATTCTTTCTTATCAAATACTAATTGGCGCAAATAGTGACACAAGGTTTTCCAAAAAGGACTCGGTCTAGCAGACAGCGCCACAATACGATAAGAAAAATGTAATGTTGCAGTAGTTCAAAAATTATGTGCAGTAAATAAGCGATAGCGACACAGAATCACAGAAATATGAACTGGGTTTTTTTTTTTTTTTGTGGAGTGGAAGACAGTTGCGCAGTGTGACTAGTAAGACAGCATTTTTAAACCTTAATTATTGGAATGATGATGATTCTATATGGAAAAGATCCGATTAATAGAAATTACCGTTATTTGGAATCTAACTTTGGTAACTACAAAAGATAATTTGGTTCAGCCATAAACATGAGTACACATATATGAACAAAAAGATTTTTCTCTTGGGTACGCACCAATAATATCAATAGTTCTGATAAATCTGTAATTTTAGCGTTAAAGCTCACCTTAATTTGTTCTTATTAAAGATTTATTGTTTCATAATATTACTCAATATTACTACTCTTAGCGAAACTTGTGTTTATCGAGGTACTTACCTAATCTTTCTCCTACGAATTCATCAAGATATTCATAAAGGTATTTTATAAAGCATGTTCATTAAAGTACTACGTACACACGTACATATATACCTTTTCTAACCAGAAAGACTTCTAAACGTAGATATAGACTCGTACAAGAGAATTCAAAAACAAACTTTATATTAATCCATTTGTTACCTGATTTTAAAAACAAATTCGGACCAAGAACCTGGATTCGGGCCTAACTTTGATACTATAATAGTATCGCGATATGGATAAGTAATTTCTACTTATTACGAAAGTATTTTATCCTTTCTGGGCTCTCAAAAGAATTCATTTATATTTTAATCAAAATCACGCTAGCAAATTTTTCTTTTTTTAACAAAGAGAAACTTTAATGCATACATCTGCAACTTCTAACAATACTTAATATTATCATTATGCATGATGCACAATAATTTTTAAAATTAACGTAATTTATAGTTATGTAGCGTACAGTACACACACTACCGTAATTTGTAATTTATAAATTATTTTATTTATAATTTATATATATTATATTTTAAAAAAGAAAAAAAAAAACCATAAAAAAAAATAAATTACGAATTAGGTAAAATAAAATAAAATATAAATTAAGGTGGCATTTATCCATTATTGTTATTAGTAAAAATCTAGAACATTATCCGATTTAATACTATATTTATCCAAGTTATACGGAAAATATAATTCCGTAATTTGGAATCAAACTATTTTTAATATCATCAATATTTAATTCATCGTAAACACCTTCAAATTCTACTTTTTGATTTTCCATATCCCAATCTAATCCTCCAAAAATTGTCATTTTTTTAAATTTACATAAGGTATTATTCTTAAATTCTTCTAATATATTCTTTCTTATTGCAAATTTTGTTCCTATATGTAACCATTGTAAAGTTGATGGTAAATGATTGGCTAATTTTGTTAAAAATTCGGAAAAAATTAAACATTTTTGCTTAGTTTCTAATGAATAATAAGAAATTTCGGTAATCGCCAATTTTTTCAAATGATCTAAACTAATAAGTGTAGTAAATAAATCTTCTTGAATATTTGAATAAACATAAGTTGATAAAGAAATTAAATTTTTACACAATTTTATATTATGTAATAATTCCAAATGATTAAAAAGATCCGATTCTAAAAATTGAAATTTTCTTGGATCAAAAGTTATAAGATTTAACTTAAAATGTGGTTTGCCAGTATCTAATTCTATTATACTATCTTTAGTAGATTCTATTAAAGTTATTAACGCATTTGGTGAAGTATATCCATAAATATATTTCAAATATTTAAGATTAGAAAGAACAAGTTTTGATGATGTTTGTTCTGAAACATTTATACATTGATCAAATGTTAGAGTCTCCAAGTTTGGTAATTCAGAAAGAACGTGCAACCAAATTATATTTTGAAAATCACAATGATGAAAAGAAAGTGTACGCATCGAATATTGTTGAGTTGATATTAAAGAATTGATGATATCTAAAATTCCTAATTTACAATTCCAAAGTATAAATTCTCGTAAACATCTTTGAACCTTGATAAGATTTGATAATTTTTGTGATTCTATTATAGCTGGATTTTCTTTATCTTCACCAACAGTTGATAAATGCGTTGGATTACATGAAGAAACTTCAATCTTACGTAATTCATGACAAATTTCAGAAAGTATATCAAATGAAGTTCCTCTGTAGAAATTACTTCGACTTTCAAAACTTTTCAGATGAGTAAAACATTCATGAAGCCTTGGATATTTTAAAATTATTTCTGTGTAATTGTTGTTAGAACTTGAACCGATAAGCGTTGACGTTGATTGTAAATGTTTAATATTAGGGCATTGCTCTATTATCAACTTTGTGAGAGTATGATGTATTATTTCAGATTTCAATAATACATCTGTTGTATAAAAGTCATCACCTACGGGAGGAACTACTGAAGCATGAGCTGCTTGAGTGATTTCTGTCGTTATTGGACGTTGTTTCCTGTTAAAAATCTCAAATATTTCTCGCATTAAATTCCATAAACCAGAAACAATTTTTATCCTTCGTCTATTACTAAAAGAATTTAAAGAATTTAAAGGATTTATAACAGGTATCTTACTAGCATCAAAGTATAAACACCAAAATAAACTAATCATTTGAATATCTCCATTTGAAACGTATCTTAGGAAAGAAATATAATCAAAGATTGGAGGGTTACTTCTTAACGGTAGTTTGAATCCATTTTTAATAAGCTTGGCTCTTTCTTCGTTATTAAGATACGATAAATATGTGTCAACAAGTTTTACATGATTATTTCTATATCTATGATATGGATAATAATCATCAGGTCCATGTAATAGTTTTATGGGATTTCTCCAGAGAAGAGGAATCGTTATTCTACACCATTCTCGATTCACTAATGCACAAGTATAGAGCGTTTTTCTATCATTATGAAAATCCAAAAGAAATTCATAAAGAAGAAAGGTAGGAAACGTCATCGAAAAAAGGTGAAACTCGACTTTTTTTCAAGTAACACTTTTAAATAGAATAAACGTTCTTAAGATCGAACTGGAAAAAAAAGCCACATGGAAGGAATTTTATTTAATAGGTAATATCAGGAAATCAAGAAAATCAGAAGAAAATTCTTTCACTATTTGTCCATGTGATTAAATAATATATTTGTAATTTATTTATTGAACCAATCATTACTCGATGGATATGTAATACACATTGTTACATGCTTTGAAAGTTCCAAGTTTCGAATATCTTTTTTGTATACCGATACCCGAATTTTTTAATGCCTGTATCAAGTAAACTGGGTCCCACAGCCAACTAAAAGACCTATTCCCTTTTTTATACATTTATCGCGCTTTAGAGATGTCTAAGTTAATTATTATTTAGAAATTTACTCATGCTAATACATAATTACAGCGAGAAAAGAATGCAGTGTTTAAAATTTTACCCAACATATATTTATCAAGCATATTTAATATTTATTAACTATGTCAGATATGTTACATAAAAGTATTACCTTTTACACAATTCTATGCCTTTTTTTTTTTTTATTCCAAATAATTCGTATGTTGTAAGTACGTACGTACGTACGTGGGAATGAAATTTAACGTTTAGTGAATTTGAAATTTTAATTAAATTTAAATTCGACGTCAAGGGGTTAAGTTAAAAGTTACGATTAAGGTTAGGCTTCGTGTTCGGTCTGGATCGGGATCAGGGTAGGCTAATCTAATTTTAACAAGTTATAGCTCCCCATTTACAACATATATTTAGATTAACAATGAATTTTACAAACGGTATTTCCTTTATTATTTATCTACAAAATACAAATTGCTATTCATTTACCAGGTTAATATTTAAAGCCACCAAAGAGATTCCCACCAAAATAAACGAGAGAAAAAAAAAAAAAAAGATTCATAATTAATCGTATTAATCATATCTAATACGAGGACTACCGGTTTCTACAGCATGAATGCTTCTTGTACTACTACTACGACTAGGTCTTGGTCTTCTTTTTTCGGAAATTAATAGAGGTCCACCAGGTCCATATCCACGTGCACTTTCATATTTAAATTCTTTGTCATAATTATCCCCAAAATTTGTTTCAATAATACATGGTCCATTAGCCCCTATCGTTGGAAACCATATATGTCGTATACTCGTGAAAGCATTACCTAAGAATTGCCCATTTTTCGTAAAAAATACGTATCCAACATCTGGATTATATCCACAACCTATTGTATCTCCTACTTCTCCCCATGTAGGTCCATATTCTCTACCACTAGGTGCATCATTGAATTTTCGTCCATCATTTGAATGATAGCCCACTGAATATATATTCCATCCTGGTAATCTGTAAATCATTATTAAAAATTGTTAAATACGTTAAATATCAATAAATGATGAATGAACAAATACTAACTACAAATTTAATTAATTGATTTTATAATTAAATAATCTATAAATACCTAAAATAAGGATATGGTTTAGTCGCAAGTCCGATCGCTATAGTAGTATTTTTTCCTTCAGGATTTGATAAAACGGTAATTTCGAAATAATGTAACATTTGTCCACGTCTTAATTCCATAGTTTCAGGTTGTTCGAACGGCGGTTCATAAAGTGTATCCCCCTCCGTTTGTGGTATAAAGAATGGATAATTCGTTTGTACCATACAATCCACTCTTTTATTAAAAGTTACGATGCTTCCTTCGTTGGTTATCGAAACAAATTGTTGTACTAACAAATTTTCATCAGGTGACCATTCCCAAGCTTTTGCTCCTCCAAGACCCTGAATATATACAATATGTTCAGGTGGTGGAATTTCTTCTTGTGGCGGATGTTCTTGTGCAAATGCTTCAGCTTCATCATTTAATCTAGATTCAAATGGTGGTGGACTAGATGATATTTTGGGGAAATCATCAGCAGTTTGTGTACTAGATATCATACGTTTTGAACTGGGACGGATTTCTTTATCACCCACTTTCTTTCTTTTTCTCATCGTAAAACACAGACCGAAGCCGATTAATATGATTATAACAACTGCTCCAACCATAATTCCTAAAACACAGAGACCATTACAGATAGAGTTTTGCCTTGAATTTATCCCATCACTAATCACTTGATTTGTTGTTACGTTGGTAAAAGTTTCATTCTCTTGTCTATTTTGAATTATTGATCTCTTGTTTTTTTTATTTGACCTTTTCCTTAAAGTAGATCTGAGACCACGACGTCCACTGCATAAAGGTTGTTCAGATTGATTAGACTCACAAATTGCTATTGAAAATCGCGGTGTCGTCGTTATCAGTACATAAAATATAAAAAAATATTTGATATTTCTTAAAAATGTGATATAATCATTAAGAATCATTGTAAAATTACTTTTATTAGCATAACCGTCAAACTCTAATAATCAAAGAAATCAAAGAAAGGAAATTGAAAAGAAAATTGACACTTCCAGGTAAAAACAAAAATAAAAAAAAAATAAAATTAATAATAATAAAAAAAATTAAAATTAAAAAAAATATTAAAAAAAAAAAAATTGAAATTGTAATTGAAATTAAAAAGTTGTGATTGCTTGAATCAAATCATGTTTTTTCACCGAATAATAACATTTTTTGGATAAGCCTCAACAGCATGAAAAGCATAGCGAATCTTTTAACAAAATAAAATAATCAAGACTTGAGTTTCACAAATAATTTTTAAAGAATTACGAAAATCATACAAAATTATGACAACGTTTAATTTAATCAACAATCCACCAACGTTGAATATGTGTACTAACGAAAGTCACCAAAGTGGCGCAGTGATGATTAAACAGCGTTTCACCTACGTACATACGTACCTACCAGATACGTACAGACTCATAAGCAAAAAAAGCGCAAACGTTTACGTATAACGATAATACGCACACGAAACTTACTTGAAATACTTGAAATACGTATCATATAGCAAGCAACAAAATATGTCAAAGCCCGTGTGGCTTAACATAGAATACGGTCTGATGTGGCTTACCGTTATTGGTAGTCCATACTTAGATTAACCTAAACGTAGACTCCATCAACGTTAAAATTAATACTACCGCTGAAAAAAAAGACGCGAAGACATTGCAAAAACTACATCGTCGTTGGATTATTTTCATTGGACTAGTAAGCTAAAATTCCATGGCTTTTTGTTATTTGCTTGAATTGAATGTTAATAAATAAGTAGTCACATGAATCATTAGGCCTCGTTAAAAGGTAATACTAGTACAATGAATGGAAGGCATCCTTTATTTCACGTAAATGAAAACGCGGTAAACACACGTACTTACGTACGTGCGTACGTATCAGGTATGTCGTATTTATTTAACTATATACTAAGATATATTTTAAGATTAAAGCATATGATAATGCTAACATTGTTTAGATCGTACATGTTGTGATCGATGTAACAAAATTATGAAAGAATTCTTTTTCAGGTAACAAAAAATAAATTGATTTACCATTAGATAGAAGATCAATACTATTTTATGCTTTCTTCGGAGGAGATATATCTTTGTATTACCATACTTTTACAAAAAAAAAAAAAACAAGCTGACTAATTATCGTTATATTTATTTATTACCCAAAAGATTCGATGTCAAGGTCCTCAACAATCATTAGAAATATTTGGTTCTCTTTTTTAAAGGTATCATTATTCATCTTATCGTTATTTCTAAAGAAATTCATTAAACGACCATTTTCATCAGTAAAAGTTTTTTTTTATGTTGACAATATTGAACAATTAGTACGTACGTACTTACGCACGTACGTACCTGCGTGGTATAATTTTGATATTGTGCCATAATATAGACTTACTATATATGTAAAATGCCATTCTCTTCATTCTCTTCAAGAAAACCTGTTGTGGACCAATCGACATATAAGATCGTGAGATCTTAGGTAAGATTTATCTAATCGGATAACTACGTATAGTAATAACAATGAAATGAATTATTTTTCAGTTCGATTTCATTGTGAGTATAATACGATTACTATGACAGCCACCATACGCCATATTGTTATAATTGTCCTCAAATAAAGCCACAAATTGATTTTTTCAATCAATTACGTATTATCGTTTACTTTTTAAAAATATGTATGTTTATGATAATTTTAATGCTAAGAATTATTACTTGCCTTATTTGTCAGACAATGTATACCCCTGCAAAAATTTTAAAGATTAACATTAAAGATAATGATATATACTGTATATAATCCATTGAGTAATCTACGGTATACCCAATCCCATCCCCTTAACATGAAACTTTCTCTATCATTGAATTCCAAGCTCAAATATGCGAAATTTCAATCAATAAAGTTGTTTGGCACATGTATCGTCAATTTTTGTCACGAATTTCAATATTATATATATTGTCTCGCGAAACTTTACTTTTTTTAGTATAATTAAGGTCAGGCACTTTAATTTAGGTAGAATATGTCATATGAGGTTAGTGTTAAAATATTATTATCGTATAGCGTTCATACAGCACCCCACTCCCCTTGTATAACAACAGATACTATTCTTTATCAATGCTACGTAGTGTTTTTGAAGTACTCCATATCTAATATTAAATCTACAGTTATCTATATACTGTATAATAGTTCTACAATAATAGTTATCTTGTATAGTATCCCTCTTCTCACACAGTATTTCCTATAGTACTATATAATTTAAATTTTAGATTTGCTTTTTTGTAAAAGATCCTGATACTGTTTGCAGCGTCTAACGGTATTGAATATTCTAATTGAACAGTATAAATATAATTATGCTAAAAGATATTAATATACTACTCTGAATAAAAGTAATTTTTAGGATCTCTAAAATTCTCGGGGAGAATATGTAGAATATCAGTATCCCCAGTATAAAACACGTGAAAATGATTTAGAAAAGGAAATTGGTGATAAGAGTTTTAACTTTACTAAGAAATAAATAATTTTGTTAATTTTCTCAAATTTAATAATACCGATACACTTTAAAAAAAAAACAAACAAAAAAAAAAAAGCTTTGCAATTAATATATGTATAAGTTTGATACTAAATCGTGCCAAATTCTAGAACAGGCATAAACCGGTAATAATAATGTTGGCCAAAATTAAATCTGGTATGAACCTGCATAAAAAAAATGCGAAACAATATTATAATGTTACGCGAAATTTTGACTTGTTACTTTTGTTTACAACAATAACGATAATGATGATGATTTACAGGTATGTGTGTATCTATTGTGATAATCGTGCAATGATACACCAATAACGATACTGTATCCATTTTTGAAGATTGCCAATATATAGATTACGTGCATATACTATCACTATACTACTATACTACGATTTTAAAGATAATTGTAACTACGAGAATGCATTAACTTACGAATTAACGAATCCATTTATCAATAATTCTTTCTATTGTTATTAAATTCGTTAAAACTGAACGAGTTAAAAAGATTTGAACCTGTCTTCTGATTTAAAAATTCGAAAATTCGAATCTAATCGATTATTGGAACTTGGTTCAAAGTACGTATGTACGTACATTTATTCAATTAGGTGCAGTAAATAAAGTTAGAAATATTATTCCTTTGCAGTTAACACAGTAATAACGAAAATTACAGATGTGCTTTAATATACTAGTAATTACATAATATGTAACAAGATTAATATATAACAAGACAAAACAAGATTTGATGCATTAATGAAGTAAATGAATATTTAAAATGCTATATGACTATGACTATATGACTATGAATGAATTATAAATTTTGGTGGAATTATATGTTGTAAATAATAAATAACTCGAATGTAAAATGCCTGCATTTTATTCGATGATATAGTTTTATCCTGCATAATAAAAAAAAAGATTTATTAAATTTACTATTATTCATATCAACGTTATATAGTACGCATAAATAAAAATAAAAATAAAAATTACCTACTAACACCATCACCATTAACACTAAGCATTTTGAGAGTCAGTTACTGTTGGAAGAGCTATCATGCCGAAGTCTATTGTAAGCAATATTTTTTTAAGTCGCGTTCCTTATTATTAAAAAATATACACGCGTAATTACATGTATTACAAGTATCACATACCTTTTAAATCTTTTTTAACCCATGGTTGTGGCCCAAGAAGATCCTTATTTTCACGTGTATCTTCTAAAAAAATAAAGGAGATTAACGTTAAAAATAATTATCGAATATATAATAGATACGTACAGTTATGACAATATAATACTTATGCATACCTTGAAGTTCCCATAAATCAAGGTATTCACCAATTTTTTGATAACGAAGGTATCTACTAGTATAAATAGCTTTAGGGTGGGTCATTTTCTTTTTCTCATCTTTAAATTTCTCTAACAAATCCTCGTTAACTTTTAATGTTGTGGTGAGACACCATTTTTTCCAAAAATCAATAATATCACCAATTTCAATAGCAGTTGGACGTTTTGAAGGATCAGAATCCCAACAACGAGTCATCAATTTTACATAAGGTTCTGGCATGTGGGCAAGGATTTCAGGACGTTCACCACGTAAAATATCGATAACTAATTTTTCATCATGTGCACGATCACAAAAAGGTCGTCTCTTTGATGATAATTCCCACATTAGCATTCCAAAACTATAAATATCAGAAGCCTTAGTGTAAGGCTTTCCGCATAACACTTCAGGTGCCATATATGGAATAACACCATGAATTCCTTCCAAGGCTCCCGAAGTACGTTCCGCCGGTTGACATAATCCAAGATCACAAATGCAAGAATATCTTTTAGAGCTAAATGCTTGACCATGTATTAATATATTTCCAGAATGTAAATCTCCGTGAACTAATCCAGATTTATGAATAGTAGTAAGACCTTTAATGATACCGAACATTATCTCAATAATTGTTTCACTCCACCAAGTATTATCTTGAGCGTCGCTATAATCGTTACAAAAAGTTCGTAAATCACCTAATTCTGCATGTTGCGTGACCATCATGAACTCATCGGTAGTCGAATCTTTAGTTATCCCATAAGCCTTAACGACATAGTTTCGTACAGACGTAATCGAACTACACTTCATATATGCTGCTAGCTGGAAAATAAAAAAAAATTTTTATCGTGATTATTATTTATTATGTATTATAAAAATGAGTCATCATTCAACGTTAATAGAAGTATATATATATACCTCATGGAAAAACTCTGCGGAAACCTCTTTAGAGTTATTAAGCCTCTTCAGTACAACATTTGTGGTTCCAAATTCGTTTGTCCAAACGGCTGTATGAATAGTTCCATGACCTCCTTTGGCCAAAACCTTAATGTTCGAAAGTTGATCATACGGTATCCATTTCAAGGATTCGTATTGATTTTGAGCATTTTCTTGAACTTCTCTAATAAACTCATCAACAATTTCATTTCCACTTGTCCACGCTTCTTGTGTCAATTCTTTTTCGGTCATTTTATGATTTTTACGTTTTGGACACCAGTGATATAGAGTTTTTGGTTGATTGCATTGTGGACAGGGAGGATATTGAGAACCTGGGTTTAATTCCATATTTTAAAATTGATAAAATTTGTTTTCTAACAAAAATAAATCGTGTTTTCAATTTTCAATAGCAATTAGCTTTTCTTCCCGAGTTATTTCTTTTTCAAAATTAAAATTTGGTAGATGGCATGGTATCGTGAAGCTTCTTATATACCTAAATTTATTAGGGATCACTTTAACGTTTCTAGTTCTATAAAATTATTAATAATTTCAAAAATTTACATAATTTACCTGCATTTGTCATAATATCGAGTGATAACCTATGATCATCTTTCATAAAAAACAAATGCAGAATAACCTTCCCCTTAGAAAGGCATTTACGTATGTTTGTTACGTATTTTTTTTATCGTCATTATAAAATATGCTCATTTATGACAGCATCAATGAGTCACAAGACAATATGATCGACCCATGGTACGCATAATAAAGAATCAAAAATAGTTATCAAGCAATAGCAATAATATCGATGTGTAATCGGATCTTCGAGTCACTCAGTATCGGTACGCCAAGGAAGAGAAATCCTTAAATCTTACTCCTTACTCGTGAATAGTTATGTATGATCCATTTTTCCGTTTAGAATATTCTTGCTTATCTATATATAGTAAATAAACTCCTAGTACGTATAAACATATAATTTTGATTTATATATTCACATGTATATAGATATCCATATCGATATGTAATCCAAAATAGACTTGAAGATTGATCTTCGATACATTTTCATAATGTTTAATCTATTACAGTATTACCTGCATGATTTACTGTAATTCGTGCAAAATTATTTATACATATAGTATTACAGTAAATACCAAAAGGATTAGTTTCATTTACCCTATTTTACAATAAAGGTTATATTTTCCTGCGCATTTCGTGTTATCAAATGATCGATTTATCATATAAATTTTAAGATTTGAATAAATTATAAATATTAGCAAAAATACGTATCGGTATAACATAAAAGTTGCTTCCCAAACGCTAACAATTTTTCCATGAATATATAAATGAGGAATAAAGAATTTTTTATACATAATAAAAATATTATTTATGATTTTATAATTTATTCCCTATTGAAAATAATTTATCTACGTATTTGGCAGCAATTATTATTTAATGAAGTAGTTATGCATATGAAAGAATTACAATTATAAATCATCTAAGTCTAGAAGTTAATTTTAATAATATCCGAAGATAATAGATATAAATGAATTTTTATTTTATTATTAGAAAAAGCACTAGAAGCAAATCTTAGTAAATTTAATATTATCTTTTAAAGAATTTCTATTTGTACACAGTGTGTTTATACACAGTTATACAAAATAAATAAAAAAATGTAACTTGTAAATCAATTTTTGTATAACAAAAACAAAGCAAAATATTAAAATAATTTAATAATTTATATAAGTAGTTATATAGAAACTATATAAGAACTTAATTAGTATAATAATTGTGAGGGACCAACATGAGGTTGGTTTCAACGTGAGGTCAATTAGTATTTAAAGTCCGCCAACGATTAGTAATCATAAAAAATACTAATTGACCTCACGTTGGAACCAACCTCATGTTGGTCCTTCACAATTAAATTTTGTCCCAAAACTTAAATTTGAGTGGTATACTTTATATTAATATTTTTTAATTTTTCGGGCAAATTTGCTTGGAATACAGATGAAAAATAGTTACTTCTGTGAATTTAAAATAGCTTTTATCCTCTTAATATCTAATTTTAGAAATAAAAAAGTTTAAAAATACCATAGAAACAGATACTAGGTGGTAGTAGTGCGGTGTTTTTAAATTATTGTATATTGTCTACCTAAATAGATTGGGTTTTTTTTGCAGCATTTATAATAAGATGTGCGTATAGTCGAATTTACTACGTGTTTTAAAATACTAAAATTTGAATGATTGGTACCTGAATTTAAAGAAATAAATTCGTTTTATAAAAATTTGCATTTACAAGATAGAGAGCCTGTATTTATTGGTTTATAATTATATAACTATAATATAATTTTATATGCATTTAGAATGGTTACAATTACAAAGGTTTAACTACACAAAATGTATAAAATAATTTTTTTCTTTAAAATAGGCAATAATAAAAATCCCATTAGTCTTTCTTTATATAATCATTTGTTATTTAATAGATGGGCTAATTTAGAATCATTATATCTATATGATTCTCCACTCATTTCTTGAGTGGCACCACCTACAACTAAAGCAGCCAATACACGACCTGGATCATCAGGATGAACTAATGTCTTCGACTCATAAAGATCTATATATCTTTGATAATCAGTTTGTTTCATTTGTGCTGTCAATCCTTTTTGATAAATATATGCGTTTTGAATTAAAAAAAGTATATACTGTAATATTACTAATATTTACAAATTATTAGAACACGTACCATTTTCGCGTATGTTGGCTTGCATAGTTGTATCAACAACACCAGGAAGAATTGATACAGAAACTATATCTGGTTCTTCAACTGCAATGCATTTCGTTAACATATGCAGAGCAGCTTTTGATCTATTGAAACAAACAAGTATAAATTAGGGAGAACAATCATATTATAAAGTTTTTAATTTAACTTCAGAATAGTACGTTACGTGCAATAGGGGGCCCAACTTTGGACAGCAAAAGTCGCAACACCAGTGGAAACGGTAATAATTCGGCCTCTAGAAGTTCGAAGATAAGGGATTGACTTTTGGATAAGCAATATATTTGAAAAAAAGTTTACATCGAAGTGACTATTTATTAATATTGTATTCAATTAGTAAATTTTGAACAATTATAAAAGGAACTTGCAATAATGTATATGATGCAATTGTTACTGTTTCCATTCTTGTAAATTAATATCTGCAAAGTTTCCCATTGGATCTAACGTACTAAAAATTAACTATTTAGATAAATATTAACAAGCTTTAAGGAGCTTCGATGTAAACTTTTTTTCAAATATATTGCTTATCCAAAAGTCAATCCCTTATCTTCGAACTTCTAGAGGCCGAATTATTACCGTTTCCACTGGTGTTGCGACTTTTGCTGTCCAAAGTTGGGCCCCCTATTGCACGTAACGTACTATTCTGAAGTTAAATTAAAAACTTTATAATATGATTGTTCTCCCTAATTTATACTTGTTTGTTTCAATAGATCAAAAGCTGCTCTGCATATGTTAACGAAATGCATTGCAGTTGAAGAACCAGATATAGTTTCTGTATCAATTCTTCCTGGTGTTGTTGATACAACTATGCAAGCCAACATACGCGAAAATGGTACGTGTTCTAATAATTTGTAAATATTAGTAATATTACAGTATATACTTTTTTTAATTCAAAACGCATATATTTATCAAAAAGGATTGACAGCACAAATGAAACAAACTGATTATCAAAGATATATAGATCTTTATGAGTCGAAGACATTAGTTCATCCTGATGATCCAGGTCGTGTATTGGCTGCTTTAGTTGTAGGTGGTGCCACTCAAGAAATGAGTGGAGAATCATATAGATATAATGATTCTAAATTAGCCCATCTATTAAATAACAAATGATTATATAAAGAAAGACTAATGGGATTTTTATTATTGCCTATTTTAAAGAAAAAAATTATTTTATACATTTTGTGTAGTTAAACCTTTGTAATTGTAACCATTCTAAATGCATATAAAATTATATTATAGTTATATAATTATAAACCAATAAATACAGGCTCTCTATCTTGTAAATGCAAATTTTTATAAAACGAATTTATTTCTTTAAATTCAGGTACCAATCATTCAAATTTTAGTATTTTAAAACACGTAGTAAATTCGACTATACGCACATCTTATTATAAATGCTGCAAAAAAAACCCAATCTATTTAGGTAGACAATATACAATAATTTAAAAACACCGCACTACTACCACCTAGTATCTGTTTCTATGGTATTTTTAAACTTTTTTATTTCTAAAATTAGATATTAAGAGGATAAAAGCTATTTTAAATTCACAGAAGTAACTATTTTTCATCTGTATTCCAAGCAAATTTGCCCGAAAAATTAAAAAATATTAATATAAAGTATACCACTCAAATTTAAGTTTTGGGACAAAATTTAATTGTGAAGGACCAACATGAGGTTGGTTCCAACGTGAGGTCAATTAGTATTTTTTATGATTACTAATCGTTGGCGGACTTTAAATACTAATTGACCTCACGTTGAAACCAACCTCATGTTGGTCCCTCACAATTATTATACTAATTAAGTTCTTATATAGTTTCTATATAACTACTTATATAAATTATTAAATTATTTTAATATTTTGCTTTGTTTTTGTTATACAAAAATTGATTTACAAGTTACATTTTTTTATTTATTTTGTATAACTGTGTATAAACACACTGTGTACAAATAGAAATTCTTTAAAAGATAATATTAAATTTACTAAGATTTGCTTCTAGTGCTTTTTCTAATAATAAAATAAAAATTCATTTATATCTATTATCTTCGGATATTATTAAAATTAACTTCTAGACTTAGATGATTTATAATTGTAATTCTTTCATATGCATAACTACTTCATTAAATAATAATTGCTGCCAAATACGTAGATAAATTATTTTCAATAGGGAATAAATTATAAAATCATAAATAATATTTTTATTATGTATAAAAAATTCTTTATTCCTCATTTATATATTCATGGAAAAATTGTTAGCGTTTGGGAAGCAACTTTTATGTTATACCGATACGTATTTTTGCTAATATTTATAATTTATTCAAATCTTAAAATTTATATGATAAATCGATCATTTGATAACACGAAATGCGCAGGAAAATATAACCTTTATTGTAAAATAGGGTAAATGAAACTAATCCTTTTGGTATTTACTGTAATACTATATGTATAAATAATTTTGCACGAATTACAGTAAATCATGCAGGTAATACTGTAATAGATTAAACATTATGAAAATGTATCGAAGATCAATCTTCAAGTCTATTTTGGATTACATATCGATATGGATATCTATATACATGTGAATATATAAATCAAAATTATATGTTTATACGTACTAGGAGTTTATTTACTATATATAGATAAGCAAGAATATTCTAAACGGAAAAATGGATCATACATAACTATTCACGAGTAAGGAGTAAGATTTAAGGATTTCTCTTCCTTGGCGTACCGATACTGAGTGACTCGAAGATCCGATTACACATCGATATTATTGCTATTGCTTGATAACTATTTTTGATTCTTTATTATGCGTACCATGGGTCGATCATATTGTCTTGTGACTCATTGATGCTGTCATAAATGAGCATATTTTATAATGACGATAAAAAAAATACGTAACAAACATACGTAAATGCCTTTCTAAGGGGAAGGTTATTCTGCATTTGTTTTTTATGAAAGATGATCATAGGTTATCACTCGATATTATGACAAATGCAGGTAAATTATGTAAATTTTTGAAATTATTAATAATTTTATAGAACTAGAAACGTTAAAGTGATCCCTAATAAATTTAGGTATATAAGAAGCTTCACGATACCATGCCATCTACCAAATTTTAATTTTGAAAAAGAAATAACTCGGGAAGAAAAGCTAATTGCTATTGAAAATTGAAAACACGATTTATTTTTGTTAGAAAACAAATTTTATCAATTTTAAAATATGGAATTAAACCCAGGTTCTCAATATCCTCCCTGTCCACAATGCAATCAACCAAAAACTCTATATCACTGGTGTCCAAAACGTAAAAATCATAAAATGACCGAAAAAGAATTGACACAAGAAGCGTGGACAAGTGGAAATGAAATTGTTGATGAGTTTATTAGAGAAGTTCAAGAAAATGCTCAAAATCAATACGAATCCTTGAAATGGATACCGTATGATCAACTTTCGAACATTAAGGTTTTGGCCAAAGGAGGTCATGGAACTATTCATACAGCCGTTTGGACAAACGAATTTGGAACCACAAATGTTGTACTGAAGAGGCTTAATAACTCTAAAGAGGTTTCCGCAGAGTTTTTCCATGAGGTATATATATATACTTCTATTAACGTTGAATGATGACTCATTTTTATAATACATAATAAATAATAATCACGATAAAAATTTTTTTTTATTTTCCAGCTAGCAGCATATATGAAGTGTAGTTCGATTACGTCTGTACGAAACTATGTCGTTAAGGCTTATGGGATAACTAAAGATTCGACTACCGATGAGTTCATGATGGTCACGCAACATGCAGAATTAGGTGATTTACGAACTTTTTGTAACGATTATAGCGACGCTCAAGATAATACTTGGTGGAGTGAAACAATTATTGAGATAATGTTCGGTATCATTAAAGGTCTTACTACTATTCATAAATCTGGATTAGTTCACGGAGATTTACATTCTGGAAATATATTAATACATGGTCAAGCATTTAGCTCTAAAAGATATTCTTGCATTTGTGATCTTGGATTATGTCAACCGGCGGAACGTACTTCGGGAGCCTTGGAAGGAATTCATGGTGTTATTCCATATATGGCACCTGAAGTGTTATGCGGAAAGCCTTACACTAAGGCTTCTGATATTTATAGTTTTGGAATGCTAATGTGGGAATTATCATCAAAGAGACGACCTTTTTGTGATCGTGCACATGATGAAAAATTAGTTATCGATATTTTACGTGGTGAACGTCCTGAAATCCTTGCCCACATGCCAGAACCTTATGTAAAATTGATGACTCGTTGTTGGGATTCTGATCCTTCAAAACGTCCAACTGCTATTGAAATTGGTGATATTATTGATTTTTGGAAAAAATGGTGTCTCACCACAACATTAAAAGTTAACGAGGATTTGTTAGAGAAATTTAAAGATGAGAAAAAGAAAATGACCCACCCTAAAGCTATTTATACTAGTAGATACCTTCGTTATCAAAAAATTGGTGAATACCTTGATTTATGGGAACTTCAAGGTATGCATAAGTATTATATTGTCATAACTGTACGTATCTATTATATATTCGATAATTATTTTTAACGTTAATCTCCTTTATTTTTTTAGAAGATACACGTGAAAATAAGGATCTTCTTGGGCCACAACCATGGGTTAAAAAAGATTTAAAAGGTATGTGATACTTGTAATACATGTAATTACGCGTGTATATTTTTTAATAATAAGGAACGCGACTTAAAAAAATATTGCTTACAATAGACTTCGGCATGATAGCTCTTCCAACAGTAACTGACTCTCAAAATGCTTAGTGTTAATGGTGATGGTGTTAGTAGGTAATTTTTATTTTTATTTTTATTTATGCGTACTATATAACGTTGATATGAATAATAGTAAATTTAATAAATCTTTTTTTTTATTATGCAGGATAAAACTATATCATCGAATAAAATGCAGGCATTTTACATTCGAGTTATTTATTATTTACAACATATAATTCCACCAAAATTTATAATTCATTCATAGTCATATAGTCATAGTCATATAGCATTTTAAATATTCATTTACTTCATTAATGCATCAAATCTTGTTTTGTCTTGTTATATATTAATCTTGTTACATATTATGTAATTACTAGTATATTAAAGCACATCTGTAATTTTCGTTATTACTGTGTTAACTGCAAAGGAATAATATTTCTAACTTTATTTACTGCACCTAATTGAATAAATGTACGTACATACGTACTTTGAACCAAGTTCCAATAATCGATTAGATTCGAATTTTCGAATTTTTAAATCAGAAGACAGGTTCAAATCTTTTTAACTCGTTCAGTTTTAACGAATTTAATAACAATAGAAAGAATTATTGATAAATGGATTCGTTAATTCGTAAGTTAATGCATTCTCGTAGTTACAATTATCTTTAAAATCGTAGTATAGTAGTATAGTGATAGTATATGCACGTAATCTATATATTGGCAATCTTCAAAAATGGATACAGTATCGTTATTGGTGTATCATTGCACGATTATCACAATAGATACACACATACCTGTAAATCATCATCATTATCGTTATTGTTGTAAACAAAAGTAACAAGTCAAAATTTCGCGTAACATTATAATATTGTTTCGCATTTTTTTTATGCAGGTTCATACCAGATTTAATTTTGGCCAACATTATTATTACCGGTTTATGCCTGTTCTAGAATTTGGCACGATTTAGTATCAAACTTATACATATATTAATTGCAAAGCTTTTTTTTTTTTGTTTGTTTTTTTTTTAAAGTGTATCGGTATTATTAAATTTGAGAAAATTAACAAAATTATTTATTTCTTAGTAAAGTTAAAACTCTTATCACCAATTTCCTTTTCTAAATCATTTTCACGTGTTTTATACTGGGGATACTGATATTCTACATATTCTCCCCGAGAATTTTAGAGATCCTAAAAATTACTTTTATTCAGAGTAGTATATTAATATCTTTTAGCATAATTATATTTATACTGTTCAATTAGAATATTCAATACCGTTAGACGCTGCAAACAGTATCAGGATCTTTTACAAAAAAGCAAATCTAAAATTTAAATTATATAGTACTATAGGAAATACTGTG